GTGGTGAATTTGTGTGGTGTTGGTGGGAAGGAGGAATGGCATGGCTTAGATCCATCTCCCCTTCTTTCAGAAGGGTCTAAGCTGTGTTTAGCAAGTTGCTTAGATCATTTTTCCCTTTGTGGATAAATGAGTAGGAAGGAGCTGAATGCAGTGGTCATTTCCTAGTTGGGAAAGGAAAGGACCTGAATGAGTTTGGTGCATAGGTTCCATGGGACACTTGCTTCTAAGTCATTTGGCTGTGTTTGAAAATCCCGTCTTTTATTTTATGTGAACAGTTCCATATATGAATAGGATGAGTGTGGTTTGGCCCTTGTGGGACAGGTTGAATCCGTTTGTTGTCCTAGGAGCGTTGGGCTATCACTCAACATTAAACTCCATGGTTAAAATAAAACAATCGTCTCCCATACATGTGGATTCGTTCAGTAGTGCAACACTGCAGAACGTTCAGGTTTCTATGGTAGCAGAGACTTGGGGTTCTGCTGTGCAATGGGGTTGTTTTCTGTCCATCAGAAGCAAGAGATGATTCAGCAACAGATTTCAGTGTGTTTTGCTGCCACTAAGGCTTTAACTGAAAGTGAGAGATCTGCCATGTCTGAGGATGCTGCTGCTGTAATAGTTGCTTTTTCTAAGAAGTGCTAGTGAGGATGAATTCCTGGTCCTGTGTAAACAGGACCTGGAATTCTAACTTTAGATCAGCTAGACAGCAACTCCAACATCAGTGTTTTAATTGCATCTCTGATGTGGGCAGAGGTGAAGCTTTTAAATAAAGTGACTGGGAAATGCATCCTGATGAGGAAACCTAGAATGTGACCCCTTCACCCTCTTCATTTCTTGCAAAGCCACTGCAAGAGACTCCAGCTTTATATTAGGTTTTATTTTATTTGCATGGCCAACTGCATATTAGATACTTTATAAGCAAGAGCAAAATACAGGACTCGTACTCATTGTCCCAGAACAAAAGGGAACATCCCCAATGGCCCTGCTGGTATGTCATGAGAGAGAGTTCTCTTTTAGCTGTCGACATATCACAGTGCTGCCCCTGGGAATATGAGCAAGAGCTTCCAGAGTAGAGCAACTAATCCTATTAAAATGGTTTGAGGCACAGGAGCTGATCCCTTTCCACCTTAAGCCACTCACTTCTCTTGCTAAGAATGAAAATGGAGAAACAATCTAACATTTTGAAAATGTTTAAATATTATTTTTGCCTGGCGCTCTGAAACGTGGTTAAATCAAATGTGTTATTCAGTATTTAAATAGGAGTTCTTGATAGGTGGCTACAGGTGATACCTCATGCTAAACTGTATCTACAAAATGTGGACTTTGACTGCTTCAGCTAATATGTCTAATCTGCGTAGTTAAAGTTGGGAGCCTTCATTTTATAGTCAGACACCCTAGATGAATCATTTTCTTTCCTTGTTTTTTCCTAAATGGCCTAAAACCCAGACAGGTCTTCCTGAGTGGAAAGTACTAGTGACCAAGACCTCTGAAAAATCAAGCCACTTATGTATTGAACAATGTGCACTTGATTAGGAAGCCCTGGCTTAATAAGTAATGTGTATGCAGTGAAATCCTTCCCTCTCCCTGCCTTGGTCTGACTAAAATGGTGCTAGTCCAGTCACCACTGAAAGTCCAGCTTTCTGGCGTGGAAAGGGCACGTATCAGTCAAGTCCAGAGGCATACTCAGTGCTATCGCAAGGGGGTAGGGGGTGAGCAGGGCAACCGCCCTGGGCACTGCAGTGAAGGGGTGCCAACAGGTGCTGCCCAGCAGGCGTGAGGTGCAGGATGGAGCCATGAGTGGCTCGTTTGGGCGGGCGCAGGGATGGGGGAAGGGTGGCACCCACTGCTGCTTGCACTCCTAGGCAAGCATGGGAAGGCATGTGCCCCCCAGATCTGTGCATGGGGCAAGGGTGGGCTGCCGCTGCGGGCTTTGCCCTAGGTGCCAAATTTCATTGCTACAGCACTGGCACAGCTAAGCAAGCCAACGCAAGTTCTAGATCATCATTGCTAAGCCTGTAACTAGGAGCTGCTACAAATGACAGCATCCTTGGACTAGAGTGATTGAGTACTTGCCAGGGATTAAAAAGCCTTTCAAACAAACCACCCCCTTTATTGTTGGGGATATCAGGAAAAAGAGCAGGTTCCTTTCTTCCGAATTAGTAAGTTATAACCTGAACTAAAAAGCTACTTTCTAGTTTCCTTCTCGGAGGTGGACTATTTGCCAGTGTGTGCTGACGGTAGCTGCTCCACAGTCCTGAAAATATTTCTCAGCAAGAAGAAAGTTATGTGCACTGTGCGAATCCCTTTTTGGAGGCCTTCTGACAATTAAATTGTTTCTTTTTGTAAGTGTCACTTCCTTCTTTAACAGCTTGGTCTCCTGCGGAGTGGGTCTTGGAGAGGCTGTTATCTTACCTCCTCAGCATATTTACAGAGTATCAGATCAAACTGTACTTTTCTCTCCTACATAGGCTTTTTTTGGCCTGTCAGTGTACACTGATTAGTAGTAAATGAGAGTCTGACTGAACACTGGAAGAAAAAAAAAAAAAACCCAAAGAAACCCCAAAACCTAAAAAGAAATTGTTGCCTAGAAGCTAAACTAATGACCTTAATTTTTGATGGTGTATTAAGATTCAAGTGACTAATTCACAACCTCTGGTTTAATGTTGCAGAACCTATTTGTGCCCCACCCCCTCTCTCTCTCATGCAAGGAAATTTAGTTGAGGTTCACACGGACAAATCTGTAACCTTCCACTCCAGATTTTTAGAACTCACTAGCACTTTTCGGTTGCTAAAATTAAAATTTTCAGTGCCCTTTAACTTGACTTGCTTGTATTTTCAAATTTTTTAAAGTCCTGCACCCTCTGGCAATCACACTCCTTTTGTTTATATAGGCAGCCCAAATCATGGTATTCAAAATCATCATGACTTGGACTATTTGGTTATTCTCCAAAAATAAATGAGTTGGATTAGACCCAAACTGGTACCACGATTTATGCAGCATAAACTGGGAGTGAATAACTGTGAATATGAGTTTCAAAACTGATCTATTTTAATAGCTGCTACCCCAGAAGGAACAACAGATAAGCAATGTACAAGAATTCTGATGTTGCGGGACCTTTACACAGGCTACTGGAGTAAAAACCACTTAATCAGCAGTTTCTTAATGATACATTAAATTTTCCCTGGTGTATAAAACTTTGTTACCTGTTTTATCAAGGCCCTGGCATTCACTATTGGGTTCTTTCCAGTGTGTATTGAAATGTATCTGGTTAAAAATAAACATTTAAAAAAAAAATGCATGTAGGAGAAACATTTGGCTTAAGTCTAAAGGGCAGAATTCAGAAGTACATGGTCATGCCCACTTTCATGCGAGTGTGTTATCACGTAATGTAGGCTTGTGCATGCAAACCTTTTGAAAAATTAAGTTTATGAAGTACAGCTCAGGAAACTTCTGCCTTCATAAAGGTTTCTATGACACCATAAGCTGCTCTTTGCTATGATAGTTGACGACAGTCATCGAAACCATGCAAGTGGGTGTGAGGGTAGAGGGGGCCTTAGAAATTGTGAAAGTAACTTCCAAGTCCAAGCTAGACCCATGTGAATGCAGGACTACCCATACAGTTTCTGCACTAGAGAAACCAGTTCTATTTAAGGATCAGGAACATCAGGTTGATAAAAGAAGAGGTGCCAAGCGTATGTGTCTCAGTTCAGTTGGTAAGCTTTTTCCTCCACAATATATTTTTCCTGTTTTTAACATGAAAAGTGCTATGCATGAAAGCATTCCGTCCAAGGGGAAGTGTCCTGAGTTCATCCAATGTTTGATTTGTGAAAATTGTGAGCAAAATCCATACAGCATATTCTGCCAGGGCAGATCTATACACAACTTTTATGTTATGTGATGTTTGTTTTCAGGTGATAAGGGGAATTCTAGTGAAAGCTTCTAACCTACAATGTGCGGGAAGAGCCTCTTCCCAGTCTGACGCACGTTTCTATATAGTCATCTTGTTAGAAAAAATGAATCTTAGACTTCAAACAAATCACTAGGTGTGTAGTACAGAAGTGGCTAGAAAGTTTATCTGCAGAAGATTCTGTGCTGAAAGAGGCAATGTAAACCACACAGAGGAGGTAAAGGATTTTGGCTGGGAACATGCCTGCTGAAGAAGATAGGAGTACTTGGTTTGCAGTAGATGATTATTTTGCTAGGGTTTACTGTTACAACTTCCAACAAGGCGAGGCAGGGGAAATGTGCCACTAGCTAATCTGTAGCAAGAAACATCTAATAGATGTGAATTTTCCTTAACTTGAAGATTTTAGTGCAACTCTCGTTTCCCATTCTTGTTATAACTTCAGCTCACTTTTCCTAGGCAACTTTTTTTAACGTGTAATGTTATCTGTTTCTGAATTTAGTCCCAGTCATTGACTTGGCTGTTTTTTACTTTCATAAGATTGCATTTAGAAATTATGAAATATCTAGGCCTGATTTTGCTGTTTGGGCGGGGGAGTGGGGATAGGATTTGAGCAAATGGAGACCGGAGCTGCTGAAGGAATGAGCAAATGGAGCTGCTGAAGAAAACGGAGGAGGGCAAGGAAGCACATAGCTAAACATAAAACTGTGGGTTTATATATAGCTCCCCAGTGCAGCCGTGGTGGTCAAGTATGTAATAACTGCATATCCAACCCCCGGCTAGCTGAGGTTTATGATTCTCAGCCACTTTAGCAAACCAAATAAATGGTTGCTGACACCATGAGCAGATCTCTGTAACTGAAGTATTTTCTTTTCCCTCTATTTACTGATCCTGCTGTTCACAATTGTGCAAACCAGGGTGTCTAGCTGAGGGCTCAGCAGTTCATTTATTTCATGAAATAATACTTAAATCTCTTTATTACACAAAGGGGCAATTTGTGGAAGTTTCTGTGCAGGTTTACTGTAAGTTGCTTGTACATCATCAAAGGTGGGCTGAATGAAGTTACTTGGTATATAAACACAAATTTCAGGGTGGTTTTTTGTTTTTAGTATTGGAATCACCTTTCCCTTGGAAACCGTAATAGTCGGGGTCTTATATATTTTTCTGTTACAGATCTGAAACTTAGCTGCAGCTGAAGTGACTAATGACGCTAAAGATGCATACAAGTACAGAGGAAGAACTGAAAAATGATACATTAAGCAACTGTAAAGTGTTGTGGGTAAGCAGCAGTATTTGGTATTTTACAGCTTGTATGTAAAAAATGTGTGGAACAGGAATGTGGCATTTTTTGTGCGTGTTACTGAGTTGCATGAGAGAGTTGTTAAATGGGTATGAAGGGTCAGATGTTAAACCCATGGGACCAATGACTGGCCCAAGTAATTGTTCTGAAGCTCTGGGAAGAAGGACAATGAATGTTGGGGTTGGGAGGAGAGAAGAGGTGGCTGCAGTGATCCTACTTGAAGGTTACAGTACGGTTGAGAAGTTCCCTCAAAACCTAATGTAGTCCAATGGCTCAAAAAGCCTGTGCAACCCACTTCCTGTCTCATCAGATGGTGGTATATCCTCTGGCCGGCACTGAGGGAAATAATACTGCATTGAGCTCCATGACAGCACAACACAGCATTACTACTCAGCCTCACTGGCTATGCTTTCAATGGGCCTTTGAGAAAGAAGCTGGTTTTAGCCTGAAATTGTGCCAGTATTGAAATGGCAAATGTAGGATTGGGATCCAGATGTCTAAGTGCAGATGCTCCATCCCCTTGCTGGGTTCCAACAAAGGCATAAAGTTGAAAATGAGGTCTGGTAGGTGTTTTGAGGAAATGACTAGAAGGTCTCTGGATTAGTTTTTGCCACAACTATGTAAAGTTCAGTCCCTCTCATTTCCATGCCCTGCTCCATCTTATCCAAAATACCCCCTAGACTTTATAATATGGTAAGTCTCCTGCCGTCTTGCAAAGGGTCTGTAGGAGTTCATTAGTGCTGCCAAAAATGCTTTAAAAAAGTAATGCATGTACCTCTTGGCTTCTGCTAACATACAGATAAGAGACATGCCCCAGTAATTGTGCTTGGTTTTTCTGTCCTGGTGTTTCAGAGCTTTTGGCAACAGACTGAAGCCAAAGCAAAGAAGAATCTACCTTATTCACAAAAAACAGATTCTTTAATTTTTTTAACCACAATTTTTTTACAAGCAAATGTATACCAGCACCCTAATTTCTTCATCCCAGTCTCATTTGCATGACAAATGATGATCTCAAATAGAAGTTGGGGACTTTCAACTTCTGTGTAAGTTTCTACCCTACAATAGGAATCTGTGTCCTCATTAGGAACACTATAACTGGATAGTATTTAATGAAACACTAGCTTTCCTGACAACTTTTCTACCTAGGGAAGGGAAAGAGAGATTAGTTTTACTACACTGAAGATAACAGAATGGCCCCTCTAGCAGGTAAGTGTTAGTGAATTTATTGGAATGTATCTAAATCCTTTGAACAGTTCCCTGTGAGCTTTGCTAGACAAGAATCGAACGATTTTGATGTATTGTCTATCTGTCAAATCCCCAAACACGTTGCCCTAGAAATCCTGCCAAAGGCAGAGAACATTGGTACTCCTGTGCACAGCACTTTGAATTGTCCAACAGTTGTGAGCAATGGAGTTGGCAGTAGATTTGGGGTAAATTTCTGTTTGTAGCTTAACTCCACCAGCTTTTGGCCTGCGGCGATGAAGTGTTTGCAGTAGAACCTCCGAGGGGAAATGCCAGATTTACACCTCTAGTTTTTTTTCCCCACTTAATAATAAAAACCTATTTGGATGATGTGTGGAAAATTGTTATGAACTGAGTGGAATTAGTGCAGTTAATTTATTCAAGGATTTAAATGGAAAGAGAGCTGAAGCATTAGAACAACCTCTGTGATTCTTTCTGTATGCTAACAAGCCTGCTTTGGCATATGGGTGGTTTCTGGTATTTAAGCTGCCTTAAGGAAATAAACAACCAATGTCTCTGCTCTTAAAACTCAGTTGCTTCTTTCTCTGGAAAAGGAGTTGTTATTTTTCATTTCCTTTCTGCTTTACAGGGATTATGCTAGCATGGGTATCATCAGCCTGCTTTGTTATGCTGTTGGATCAGAAGTGTGCAACAAGGCTTATTAGCTTATGGAGCTTGAGGGGTTGTTTTTGTTTTAGTTTTGTTTGAGCTAATTCTCCCCTACTCCGGTTTTTAAATACATTCCTTTCTGTACTTAGCTCACTATGTTTGCAAGATGTATTAAAAAAAAAATTTCCAGGCTCTGTGATCATTCCTTTGAACAGTAAAACTTAGTTTTCAACAGCTGTTCCTAGGAACAGGGCTTAAAAATGCACAGCTGGGCTCTGAAAAAAGTGTAATGTGTAAAATTCAGTGTGGAAGTAGTCTTTAATCTCTGCTTCAACCCCTGTGTCAGTGAGAGCTATGGAGTTGTGTTTGTTTTATCTTTGTGTGCTTTATTCTATTTCTTGCTTGTGGCCGTCCATTAGTCTGACCAGTGCTGGTTCAGTTTTCCTATTCTAAATGCAAAATATTCTAGGTGGATAAGGGCCTTGTTGCACCTTATGCTGTAATCTATACAAATGATAATTGGCTTAGTAGAACACAGTCACACCTTCAAGGTGAAAGCCATCTCTGACTGTCCTTCACCTGCACAGCTATGACTAGCCACTAGACGCTTGGTAGCAGGAACAGGACTAAAAGCCTATGTAAAAAGGGGCCCAGCCGTGTTTTTCTCCAGAGCTTACCCCCCCCATGCCACTGCTGGCTGGGCTGCCACCTGACCAGGTACCACCTGAGTGCTGAGGCCCCCAAACTTTTTATTTTTTTTCTTTCCAGGAGCTCCCCCCTAGCCTCTACCCCCACACCACAGGAGCAAGCTAGTCCAGACAGCAACAGGAGGCACTGTAGCTACTGGGCACTGTAGGGCTACAGCACTCACTCTGCCTGATTGCCCTGGAGGGGGGCAAGGTGCCATGCCTGACCCTACTGTGCCCCAGCATTCCCACTTGCCCTGACTCAGGAGGGGGCTGCTGCATCCTGGGATGCCGGAGGGCTTCAATTTAGGTGGAATAGCTGAAGAGTGTGGTCATACCTTAATGGAACAGGAGCAAAATTAGGCAGATTAGAGATAATCCTTCCCCTGGAGTGGTGTAACTTTAAGACAAATAACAAGTGCTTTAAGCCACTTAAGAGTTTTAATATGCAGTCAGTCCAGAGGTTATGAGCTCCAGAAACTGCCTAAACTTACTGTGCAACAAGGACCTAGAAGTTTCATGAGTGTAATTAAACCGAGAAGAGCAGCAGTGATATTTGACCTAAAAGGAAGTATTTAAAAGCCATTCAGATGCGATTCAGATGTCGGCATTTCAAGCCATGATGACCCCACAGCTCAACACTGCTCAATATAGATATGTACTTCAGATACCCCCACAAAGGATCCATGTGCTAATTAGCCCTCACTTACAACTGGAAACAGGTGTTCTTATCATGAGTCCTGGGATCTTCAAAAAAATTATATGCAGATGAGGTGTAGGTTTAAATTGCAATCTGGTCAGGTTGCAACTTATTCAGGGTGGGGCCACACTAATAGTATGTGACAGAGGGGGCAACAGAGGGATTCTGGGTGACCTGGCCAGGTCCTTATTAGGTGATGTTTGCCAGACACTTAAGGCAGGTGAAGAAACAGGAATCAATGGACATGGGAAAGGCACAGCTCAGCTGTGGAAGTGAAATTTAAGCAATGTAGTAGCTCACGATGATTTGAAAGAGTTGGCACAGAGGGGGACTGAGTGCAGCGGGCACAACCATATATATTATTCAGATGGGCTGAACTAACCTACCCTTGTGGTATGTTTCTATCAGTATATTTGCTCAGGGTCGGCCATGTGCTAAGCGTTGGATACATTTGATCAGCTTCATAGTTGGTTTCCATTACTGAGCACATGCTGCTTTTGGCAGCACTTTAATGATAGACAATGTACTTAATGATTTTAGTCTAAAATGTGCCCAAAGCTTATAGGGGTTTTGTTTTTTCTAAATAATAATAATAGTACCATATTTACTCAAATACAAGACAAGGTTTTTCCCTTATTCCACCCAAAACAAACAGATCTACACAAGTTATTTCATTTAAGCTCTAAAAGGGAACAAGAAATATTTTCTGAACAAGAAAGTTGTAGAATTCTGAGTGTTAGACTTAGGGAATGAATGGGATATTTTCTATTGATTTAGAGTCAATGTCTCTCTTTAATCTTTTAAATAATGAATGATAGTGAGGCACAGGGAAAAAAAGCCTTTAGGCACTGTCCTTACTTCAGCTTTAATTACAAAACGCATTTTTAAATTCACTAAATATTAAAGTCTTCTCAAGTATATACAATGTTTTATGTATTCATCGTCTACACAAAGACAAAGCATGGGGTGAAATTCCCTGATGCATGCAAAACTATAGGTAGAGTTTAATAATGAATTATGCCAGTGTTAATGAGATTAATTTAATCTTTTCAAGATCATTTTTAATAAGCTTTCCATATGAATAGAAATCTACTCCACAGGCAAATTAAATCATCATAGGAAAATAAGGATGGAAGGGACCTCACAAGATAATCTAGTCCAGTCCCTTGTTCATATGTCTGTCCAACCTGCTCTTGAAACTTTCTGAGGATAAAGAGTCCTCATCTTCAATCTAAATTTCCTCTGCTATAATGTCAGGGTGGTGCATGGTCAGGGTATAGGAGAAGTAGGAGCCCCAGAAGAAGGACCAGTCCTGGTATAAAGGCAAGCTGCAGTGAAACTGAACACCTCCTGAGTAAAGTACCATCCAATATCAAGTTGTGGCAGGAAATAATCGGGCAACTCTTGTGGCATGACTAGATCAACTGCACTCGTGCCGTCATGGCCCAGTCTGGTCAGGCACAGGGCCAGCGGGCCCTGTGGCCCTACCCTGTACTGAGCCAACAAGCAGATGGCAATACCTTCTCTCCTGAAAAGCCACATATATCCTTTGATGGTGCTGTGACATGGCGAGAATAGGCATGGGTGTACAAGTCCTCAAGGGTGGAGCAGATGGGAGATGATGTTAGAATCTCAATGGCTGCAAAGGGGGTTGAAGGCTGCAGTGGAACAAGATCCCCAGGTGTCTTGGTCTTCCTGACCAATGGATCAAGGTCCTGTTTTGTCAAGAGCTGTGTGGAAGC